GTGTTTCACCGATCTTTAATTGACATTCAGTGGTCATTTGGCTCAATAAAATGGACTTGTTGATGTCATAGTATAAACTAATTATTCTACTCGTCTCAATTGACCATCATGTGCGCTTCTCATTTCAGTGGTCACCGATAAGATCTATGTGCTGGACTTGGCGGCTAAACTGGACCAAACTGCAGAGTTCATTTGTAAGGTCAAATGGGGAGACATCACATTCCCACCACCATTTGGAAGAGAAGCATTTCCAGAGGTAAGGAGTATACACCTTCCCACCTATTGTGGGATAACAACACAAAGTATTATGTTCCTGTACACCATTAACCGTACTGTTTAATTTTCACTGCTAGAAATTTGTCTGATTTCAGAATTGTACAATTTTGCCAAAATCACTGGACTCCATGTTGTGAGACCCCAGAATAATTTTCACTGCTACAAAAAAAAAATTGTCTCTCGCATAATTAGTGTTTTACATCATTGAACAAAAAGCAAACTTGATGATGTGCAACAAGACTTAAAAACTACAAAATATCTTTTCAACACATATTAATACTCGATATACATTTTTCATGCAAGTATATTTATGTATTAAATTTACGCTTTTCACTGAAAAATGATATAATTTACCCTTTATTTGTCAAAATAAATCACATTATTAAATAACAGAAATTGTTATTTTTAACTTTAATACCAAATTTATTATTTAAGCAGTTATTTAATTAATTTTTTCTGTCACTTTCTTTCTAAGGAAGCGTACATTGCTGATCTAGATGCCAAAAGTGGCGCATCTTTAAAATTGACGATACTTAACCCTAATGGTCGTATATGGACCATGGTGGCTGGAGGTGGTGCTTCTGTAATTTATAGGTGTGTGTATGCTCTTAAACTCTTCAACACAATTATCCGTATTATTTAATTCTTTGCAAATGAACTGAATTGGTTTAAAATGTGTATTTAAATTTGATATATATATATGTGTATATATGACTGAATTTACATATGCAAATTAACTGAATTTACATATGCAAATAAACAGAATTTACATATGCAAATAAACAGAATTATTTGACATGTACTTTATGTTAATACATGTATATGTGACTGAATTAACATATGAAGATACTGAATTTGTTTGACATGTGTATTTCATGGAAACAAAGATTGTTTTTTGCCTTGCAAACGCTCCTGTTCAGTGTCAAGATTATATTTCTATCTTGTGCTGATAGTGTTTCTGTGATGTAAACAAAGAAAAGCGAAATGTGACATAAAGGAGATGCACAATTTCTAAATAAGGAGGATATTACAACACTTTCATTTTCTAACGTTCATATGACATTTTTTCATTGTTTTGGTGTCAGATGTATAATATTGAATATTTTCCAGTGACACAATTTGTGACTTGGGTGGTGCTAGTGAACTGGCAAATTATGGAGAATATTCTGGCGCTCCCAGTGAACAACAGACTTATGAGTACGCCAAAACAGTACTTGGACTGATGACCAGACGGCCGCATCCATCAGGAGAAAAGATCCTAATTATCGGTGGTGGTATTGCAAACTTTACTAATGTAGCGGCCACATTCAAGGCAAGAAACCAAATTAATAGTGTTTGTTACGATCAAAACCAGCATGTCAAAGAAATAATTGATAATGACTTGAAAGTTTTCTGTCAACCGAAAATGGTTGGGTCAGCTTACCATTTTTTTACTAAATTTAGTTTGAGTCTAATTAAATATGCCAGAGACTTCACGCTATATTCTGTGTGATGTGTTCATCTGCGACACGTACCACATATGTAAAATACCTTGTTTATTTACACCAAATTTATGCACACACTGCATGACGATCAAAGAACATTGGTTGTTATTTTAAGAAAAATAGTGACAGGGACTATGTCATCATCAATACAAATAATTTGTTGCTACTAAATGTAGTATTGTAATTCCTGGCATGGTTGGTGAGGGTTACTGTGTCATCGCTAACAGTTTCACTGTAAATGCAAACCACCAGTACTAAAACAGTAATTTACACTCTTCATGCCAGGCTGGCATGTCTATAGCAGTATGATCCAGAGAAGGAAAACAAAATTTTTTTCAGTACAAATAAAAAAAAAAAAAAGTGCTGCACACACTTATTTTATTAGATAAATGAAATTGATATTGTAATTTGTGATCTATAGGGTATTGTGAGGGCGCTCAAGGAATATCAACAAAAACTGAAAGATGTCAATGCATCTGTGTATGTGAGAAGAGGAGGACCTAACTACCAGGAAGGCCTCAGAGTTATGAGAGAGTTAGGTAAGATAAGGACGTGGAAGAGGAGGTGGAGGAAGGATGAGAATGATAAATATATATTGCGTTTGTAAATAAACTATCTATGATTCAGATGCTCGCCAGACATCACTAATTTGCGGATATTTTTGCAAAATCTCTTAATTTTGTTGAATCATTTCAGACGAAGGGTCAGAATGTTTTACATCCCGAATTATGGCAAATTACTAGAAATGTCCCATGATGCTAGTTGTCATTTTGAACATAATATTCTAAGTTATTCTTGAGACAACTGAACCAACAACAAAATTACACAAATATTATAATGAATGTGACAGACAATGCTGTGCTAACATATTTCCTCAACCTTTTCACCACCAGTGCCCTCTTTTCATCACAAAATAGTTCCCTCAATAGTCTTTCCTTCAGAAGAACAAAATTAGCAAATTTTTTTTTTGAAGTAAAAACTGAAAATTGATTCAAATTTTGTTAATTGACTCCAAAATTCATTTCCAGAAATATTGAAGAATAGAGAAAAGTGCTGTGTAATTTTTTGTGTGAAAATCTGGTGGTGAAAAGGTTCAAAGTAATACTGGTACTTTGTGTATGTTTATTCTCTATTGTTGCTTATCACAGCAATGTTACTTGAATTTCAAGCCCAAATTGTATGATAAAACTATTTTTTTGTTTGTTATCAGGTCAGAATCTAGGTGTGCCGATGCATGTATTCGGTACTGAGACGCACATGACTTTCATCTGCAGTATGGCATTGGGTAAACGAGATGTTCCGGAACTACCGCCCACAGACTATGTCACTGCCAACTTTTTATTAGGAGGGCCAAGTGTAAGTAGATATAGACGTGGTTGAGTGAGATGCTATCTGGTTTTTCAATAATTTATGACGATTTCAGAAGTATACAAATCAAATTTTTTTTTCAATACTTTTAAAAACGTAGTTAAACTTTCCAAAGCTGTTTATGTATTCACCAGATAATCATTTTTGCTACTAAAATATAAAGTAGATTTTGTATATGGTTAATTTTTGTTCCATTTTGACTAAAATGTGAAACTACGGTACATATTACAGTATTTAACTGTTTCACCACCAAACATTCTCACTCAAATTGTTCTGCACTTTTTTAGCTCCGCTGTCGACTTTGTTGAGCGGAGCTTATCATATGAGTGATTGTCCGTCGTCGTCGTCGTTCGTGTCAATGTTTTACTTTTTCGACTTCTTCTTGAAAACTACAAGCCTGAATGCTTTGATACTTGGTGTATATGTACCTTGGGTAGACCTCTCTTAGGTTTGTTCATTTCATGTTAATATCTTCAATTCTCTAATTTTGGTGAATATTTTTGTCATTTTTGGTAAAAAGTGATATTTTCGACTTCTTGTTAAAAACCGCAAGTGCAATTGCTTTGATACTACATATATAGGTACTACATGTGAACCTCTCTCAGATTTGTTCATTTCGTGATGATATCTTCAATTCTCTAATTTTGGTGAATATTTTTGTCATTTTTGGTAAAAAGTGATATTTTCGACTTCTTGTTAAAAACCAATAGTTCAATTGCTTTGATATTACATATATAGATACTACATGTAGACCTTTCTCAGATTTGCTCATTTTGTGATGATATCTTCAGTTCTCTAATTTTGGTGAATATTTTTGGTAAAAAGTGATATTTTCGACTTCTTGTTAAAATCTGCAAGTCCGATTGCTTTGATATTACTTACATTGTGTATATAGGTACTACATGTGGACCTCTCTCAGATTTGTCCATTTTGTGATGATATCTTCAATTCTCTAATTAATTTATTTTGGTGAATATTTTTGTAATTTTTGGTAAAAAGTGATATTTTCGACTTCTTGTTAAAAACTGCAAGTCCGATTGCTTTGATACTATTCATATTGTTCATTTTCTAATGATGTCTTCAGTTCTTTAATTGAAATGTGCATTGCTAACAGCGGAGCTATCTCAGTCGATAGGCTGCTTGTTTGAATTTGTGATGAAAAAAGGGAACTGGTGATAAAAATCAATTTACCTATATGTAATATAAACTGATAAAAGTACAGACAGTTACATTTTATTATCAAGATAACAAAAACTTTTAAAAAAGCATTAATAAAGCTTGGATACCTTATGCTTGTACAGTTTCTGTATTTCTAATTCTCATTCTTCGATTCTGTGACTTGTCAATGATGCTACTTCTAGCACCAATATCTTGAATGCTGTATTAATTCCTCTATCTTTTCCGCATGCTTTCTGGCCAGGATATCAAAAAGGAGGTAGGCATGTACTCTCAGCTGATTTGACCCCCTCCCCTCCCCCCGCTCCACATCATGCTGTAATTCTTCAAAACTCTATATTCTCTGCAGTAACTCTGTAATTCCTTAACATTACTAGTGACTCTGCACATTGAAGCAAGCATGTTACCTTTTAATTACTAATCTGCTACTGTGTCAAAACTAACATGTATTGCTGTATTCAGTGTATTCTCATAATATAGCCGTAAAAATATTGATTTTTTTCTTCAAAATATATCGTGTGATGTGCTGAAGCAATCCAGGAGACTATACTAGAGAGCTTCTTGGGGAGAGAGCTTTACTCATTGTTTATTAGACTTTCGACATATTAAGGATGCGGTAGAGTTATCATGCTCTAAAAAGTAAAAACTTTTTTCATGGGGAAAAGTGTTTTGAAGCATAGCAAATTATATATTTTCTTGAAACCTTTGTTCCTGGCTTTTTGAAAAAAATTATCTGCGACATGTACCACAAATTAGTCACGTGATTACTAAGTAAACATAGTGGTGTTATTTTGAATAAAAATTAGTTTTGTGTAAAAACAGCGGTGGTTTTGTAAAAAAAGAAAGCTGATTCCGACGCATTGATTAAAGTAGTCTCCAAAATATCACATTATATAGTAAACAATGTTTTGGGCATGATAGCACTGACGAGTATTTTCATAAGATAATATCTGTCAAGTGCTATCAGATAATATCAAGTCTGCGTTTTCTGCTTTCATGTTTTCTGCAATTTTACCTTTAAATTCCTATACTTTATTTCTAATATTACATTCTTGTAAATTACAGTTGCAGCTATGATAAAAATAAATCACATTTTCAATAATTCCTCATACAATACTTTTGCAGATGTGTTTCTAATAGAGCAAATATTGTAACCCTTTTTGGAAAGTCTCTGCATAAGTAGGATTTAAAAAAAAAAAGGCAGTTATTGTTATTTGTGATTTCAAATATTTGATGGGATACAAATTCACCACAAAGTTTTTTGTCTCAAAGATTCACCAACAAATTGTAATATTGAGATTGAAAAATAATTCTCCTTTGCATTTATCTTATCATTTTGGAAAAAAAAGACCTTTCATTAAAAGTTTTGTTTTTCAATTTTAAATAACCCTAAATACCATATGTGCATAGACGGAATTGTTGTGTTTCAGCATGCCTACCAATTCAAGCTCTTCTGCTTTGTGTGCAATGATCGCTAATACACAGATCACCATTTATCCTTGCATACAAGTAATGAAATGGGTCATCGTAAAAGTGAATCTGTCAAAAATATGAATAAATAAAATATCTTCATAGATTGATAGGCTATTTATAAACACTTGGACAAGAGCAATATATGTATAAAAATAAAATAAACAATTTAACTCACTGGTACCACTTAATTGATGTAAGAAAAATATTTCTGGCCGTGGTAACCTTAAAAACAATCTTCAAATTTTACTATTCTGTATAATTAATATATGCCATTTTTGATGTGTGGGTGGCAAGACCGTGCCCCCCTCCCAACCAAAAAAATTACACATTTGGCTGATGTTTTGACTTTTTGGTTCACAGTCGTCAAAGGTAACTCCATCACACAGTAGGACATCATCTCTGACTGCAGCAAGTGAAGAATCCAAATCACCCACGCAAACAGCGACAGCGGCAGCAGCAGCTGGTGGCGATGGTGAGAAGCCTCTTTTTTCAAAACATACAAAGGTATGTAGACAATCCCATGATGCATTAGGATAGTTACTATTAGTTCTAAGTGAATGCATTGAAAATCCATGAAGCTTACAGTTGGGTTAATGCACATTATTAATGAAAGTTGAGTTCTAAGCGCATGCTTGAAGAATCCATAAATTGTTTAATTATTCAAGTCATAGTTTTTATATAACTGTCTCACATTTATGAATAAATAAGATAATGTGCTTTGCAAATTACTGTAGCCTGCAGTAATTTTGTAGATGGTGAATACCTGTGCGTGTTCTGATATATATGCAAATTTAATAAAATAATAAAAAATGATGTTGGATTAAGATTTTCAAACAACATAATCTTCTTCAATCTTTCTCTTTTCGTAACTGAAGACATTTTATTGGAAGCCAATGCACTTATGTAAATACACATGTAAATTATCTGTAAACAAAAAAATGGTTCAATAAATTAATCCCACATAAAGTCAAATTTTTGGCTCGTATGTCATATTTGAAATATGAAAGCAAAGATGATATATTGCCATCATCACCAGCCAAAGTATGTTTACATTTATATTGGCATTTTGCATGATCTATGTAAGACACAACTTTGTTCTTAATTTCTACCCAGGCTATGGTTTGGGGAATGCAACCGCGTGCTGTACAAGGGATGTTGGATTTCGACTATGTATGTCAAAGGTCAAAACCCTCGGTTGTTTGCATGGTTTACCCATTCAGGTAATTTCTTTCTAAATTGATTTTTAAAACTGGTACCGTCTCGATCTCATGAAATATTGTAGTTTTGTTTAGCAGGTATCATAAATAAATTTTACACATGTACAAATGTTTTAGTTTAGAACTGGTAAAACTTAAGTTATCATTAAGTGTAGTTTGAAATTGTAAGAAGTTAGTAAAAGGTGTTGAGTCCATATATATAGTAAAATTGTCTTTTTTTTCACAAGATTTACTTTCTAATTCATTGAAGAAGTGATTTTATATGAAAATATAATATTTTCCTATCTGACTGACAGATGACCTTAAAACAGCCACCAGTCATTGCATGCATATTCAAATTTCATGTAAACAAACATAATATTTTACATGCATCTTATATGTAACATGGGACCCATATCAAGCAAAATACAGCATAGCAACTGTGTCACTTTAAATAATATTACATACTTTATTATATTATCAGCGGTGATCATAAACAAAAGTTTTACTGGGGCCACAAGGAGATACTTATTCCCCTGTACAAGAGTATGGCAAATGCCATCAAGAACCACCCAGGAGTTGACACTATGATAAACTTTGCCTCGTTAAGATCTGCGTACGAGAGTACGGTAGAAGCGATGCAATTTCCACAGGTGCGTGCAGTTTGTTACTTCATTTCTGTCTTCAGCTTCATGACTGTAAGATGTTTAGCTGAATAATTGGAACTGTATACTAGTATCTTGAAAGTTTGTAATTTTCCCTCTGTAGATTCGATCAATTACCAATATTGCCGAAGGAATCCCAGAAAACAAAACCAGATTATTGAATAAGATAGCAAAAGAGAAGAATGTGAGCATTATTGGACCTGCCACTGTGAGTATACAACTAATCTCAAGTTTTCTGTAATTTATTGTTTGAATAAATCCAATTTCCCACTATATATGCTGAAAATCCTATGGCTTTGGGTTGATGTGTGTACGTTTTTTAGAAGCTATGTTAAAAAACATGGGTCAGCTTCAGAAATTTGTTTTATCTGTCCATCTGAATTATGTCACAAGGGCAGATCCAGAATTTTAGTTTGTCTCTTTGTTAAAAAGGTAAAAATAAACCAGAAAATACGTTAAAAATTTATACAAATCTTTCCAAACCCAATGAACATCTCTTTGATTCACCCCTGTAAAATCACTAACTACTGTTATATTCATTGATGTTCTGGTCACCAAGCAAAAATAAGATCGTATTAAAAATTTCAAAAATTTGAATATTATGCCACAAGACTTGTTTTTTGCCCTTCAAATAGTTTTCTATTCTCTCATTTATTGTGTCTACTGTTCAAAATACCATGGTTACATAGAAGAGTAGATGTGATGATGGGGGAGCAAGCTACCTATTTGAGGGGAAAATACAAGTCATGTAGATCTCTCGCTCACAATGAGATCTTAGTGGTCATTTTGTATCTAAGGTTTATTTACCACTGACTGTAAATCACCAGAACAGACACCTGAAAATGAAACCATGGAATCAATTACTAGGATTGTGTGACCTCTTTACACGTGTATTACTCACCTACTTTTTAGGCACATTACGTATTCTTCCGCTGATACAAACATTATTCTTTTTTTTGGACAGGTTGGTGGAATCAAACCAGGATGCTTCAAGATAGGTAACACTGGTGGTATGCTTGATAATATTCTGTCTTCTAAACTATACCGCCCCGGCAGTGTCGCGTACGTGTCCAGATCAGGCGGAATGTCTAATGAATTGAATAACATTATATCTAGAAATACCAATGGTGTGTATGAAGGTGTTGCTATTGGAGGTGATAGGTAAGTTATACACCTTAGGGTATTATCACTGTTAATGACCTGTTACAAGTTTGTGTATTGACAGTAGTAAACATTTTTTAAATAGTTCCTGTTTGAAGGAATTTCAAAAACGGGGACTGTCCGTCCCGTCTATCCGTGTGTCATGTTTCAGAACTCTCTGGACTGAATCTGTTCATTCATTGCATGTGTCTAGTACTTTATGTGGGACATATGCACATGCAGTGGTTTAGAGATCTGATCTAAAATGCCTGACTGGCAGCCATTTTTGTTCATATTTGGTACATACATGTTGGTATGTCCATGTTGAAAAACAAGTCCATGATGATTTGTTTCACATTTGGACCAAAATAACAGCCATTTCCTTTTTTGACAATACTACTATTATATGTCTTTCATCGCTACGATTTTCATTGATATTCGGCAAATGTGTCATAAATAGATAATGTTCATTTTATGATTTGATTAAAGATGGTCGTCTGACTTGTAGGAATACATATGCACTATGATTTGTTTTATGAACGAATCAAAGATTGTCTACTGCTGGTAATCTTCTGTTTTGGTCATAACTACTGTATCTCTGATGCCCATGTATAGTCGTATATTTTTGTCACATACATCATAGTACACACCTATTAAATGTTCATAGTTATAGAATAAAAATAATGAAAAAAAAAATAATAAATAAAAAAAAAAATCAACATTGATATGTAGTATAAGATAAGTGAGTCTGAAAATGGGGTCACCATACAGCATTAAATTCACATTACAATTTTATGTTTCTGAATAATCAGATATTTATTTCTGGAGAACACAGTATATACGAGGACTGGAAACACAGTACACAGTGTAGTCAAATAAGTAAGCAAAAGATAATATGGTACATGTATACATGGAAATGTAAAAAAAATTTAAAACCTGTAGCCCCTATGGGCAAGTTGACAATCCCTAATATTGCTGAAGCATCAGTTTTAAAAATTCTCAACTCCAATGGAAAAACAAGATTCTGCCACTCACTACAAAAGCCAATCATCGCAAAGCTACCGGTACTAGTAAAAGATACAATACCGGTATATGTTAGTCACTTGGTACGCATTAATGACTTGTGCTTCATTCTCATTGTATAATGCCTTAATTTCTCACCATGAAAACATGTTTGACCATATATTAGATTGCAAATGTAATAAATCTGATTTTTGTTGATGCTAGATTAGGCTATTTATTCACTCTCAATTAATGACCATACACTGCACATTCATTCAGAAACAATTTACCCGGTCACGTGACCAGTGATTTGCACATCCAATTTGATTGCATATATTATGCAGGTAGCAATATATGTCCATAACAATTATGATAAGATAAAAAACATACTTTCAGCCATCTTTTTTTTTGGTCTTATTCCTTTATCATAGACATGAATAACACTTCCCTCGATTGCAATGGAGACTGTCATTAACAATGAGTTATTTTACCTTTTCAACATTTGTTTATGTTTCTCACAAATTATGATGCTAGATTTGGACTATATTCAGAATTAATAACGATTACAGGTTTTTATCTCAGATCATTTTTTCATCATAAAATAAAAGTTATTAAAACTGAAATTAAATTAGAGCGCCCTCTAGTGTCAGCTTTCATTTCTGTCTGTGCCTCATGGTGGTCATTGTTACCCATATACTAGTATATCCTCATGCAACTAAACAGATTACGAGTGTGTAATTTTTGGTTTATATTTATAGTGAAGGAACTCCAAAAAAAATCAATTCCAATATAAACAGCTGTACAATCAGAAAATGAAATTGGCTCTCCGTAAATTTGGACTTTTACTTGCCTGAGGGGGCCTAAGCTTCTTGGCTTTGAACTAGTCCCCCTTTGACTGTCAATGTTCTCGGTTCTTAAAGTATATCATGCAAAATATCGATCATTTTCAATATTTACTAAAATGTGTTTCGGTTGTATGACTTTAAGTTGGTTTGTTTCAATTTATTTTCTTGATGTTAATTCATGTGAAATATATTGTTTCTCTATACCTTTTTAAAGAAACCTGAATGCACAACAGATCATTTCCTTTAATTTCAGATATCCAGGGACAGTTTTCATTGACCATGTGCTGCGTTACCAAGACGACCATAACATCAAAATGATTGTTTTACTCGGAGAAGTAAGTAATTGTGTCAGATGGGCAGATTGTCAAAATATTTACAAAAAACTTAGCTTTTAGTTTTATTAGCTCTGATGAGATGAACTATTCATAGTACTGATTGTCTGTCGTTGATGGATCCAATTTTCCAGTTGCAAATAACAATAAATAAACGATACCTAAATGTTGATTGGAAATTTCCCAGGTACATTTGGTACATAACAGGTATTAACAATAATAACTTTATTGCGTATTTAGCCTACATACATATATCTATTAACAAGAAAGATTAGACTTCGTTAAAATCTTTTGTAATAATTGTTAATTTCAATACAGGTGGGTGGTGTTGAAGAATATGAAATCTGTTCTCAAATTGAGAATGGGCGAATCACAAAACCAATTGTTGCATGGTGCATCGGAACATGTGCTACTATGTTTACATCAGAGGTGAGGACATGAATTTACAGAAATTTGAACTTTCTTAAGGTTTCCATGGCAATGTATAGGTGATAGAAAAAATGTTATATTTTGGTAATACAATTGTCATGACAACATAGTGAGAAAAAAAAAAATAATAAACATTGTTACTTACATTTAAAATAAACCTTAAAGTTATGGGATACATGATGAAAGTATTGGTCGTCATGGCAACATTGAATTGATGGAGAATGATTTAATAAAAAGGAAAATTCTGAATCAAACTTTTTGTTGACAGTATAATGTCTTCATTGCTTTGCTGTTGCTTACATTAAGTTCATGTACTGTAGCTAGTATTCAGATCTATATTAAAAGTCTCTTATTTTCTTTATCAGGTTCAGTTTGGCCATGCTGGTGCATGTGCCCAAGCCGAAGCTGAAACTGCCCGGGCTAAGAATAAAGCACTGGCTGTAGCAGGTGCTTATGTACCAAATAGCTTTGATGACATCGGTGATAAAATAAAGTAAGGAAACTGTATGCAAATAAATATAATAGAATGGTTATTTTTTCTGCAAAATAAGATGAGCATATTAAAGTTGCAATACAGTCATGGAATTTCTTAGTATTCTTGTTACCATAGATACAGTATATTTAAGCAATAACCCCCGCCAAAGGCGGGTATACCACGAGATATTGCACAATTCACGACATATATGCACGAGCCGCAGGCGAGTGCATATATGGAGTGAATTGTGCAATATCAAGTGGTATACCCAACTTTGGTGGGGGTTATTGCTATTATATTATACCAGTATATTGACAATTCGATAAAACTTGTAAAAAAAGAGTTTACTTTCATCTACTAAAAGATCATGATTATGGCCCTTGAACATGAATATTTATAAGAATAGTATGTAGTTGTACGCTGAATGCATACAAAAATTGCATGCGCAACACTTCAAATTGAATACAAACTAATTTTTATTCCACATGAAAAAAAAAAACATCCACGTTGAATAGAGCAGCGTAAACACACAAATTAGCATAACAAAGGATGACCTTTCTGACCTTTTACTGACACACAACGCGATTTGAAATACAGGGTCGTGTACAGTTTGGATCATTAAAACAACGGATTTTCCACGTTTTCATTCCGGTTTTTGTACAATTTGGACTGTAATTTGCCCATTGAAAGTACAGTTGTGAAATAAACCGGTTTTGTGACTCATCATACTACTTGTAACTGTGTATATTTGACGTTCAGCGGG